GACGAGGTTTCCGCCTCGTTCGACCCCAAGGTGTGGGCTCTGACTCCGAGGATGAGGTTTCCGCCTTGTCCGACCCCAAGGCGTGGGCTCCGACTCCTCCAACCCCAGGGCGCGGGCTCCGACTCGTCCGGTCCCACGGGGAGGGCTCCACCTCGTCCGACCCCCGAGGGTCAGATTCCGTCTCACCCGGCCCCTAGGGTGAGATTTCTGCCTCGCCCGTTCCCTAGGGGTCGGATTTGCTACCAGACAAAAGTAGTGGCCCCAGGGTGGGACCACTGCCGCTTCAACCACTACGTCGTGGAGGCGCACACCCGAGGGCACATCTCGGGCGTGTCCTGATGTGACTGGCGGTCGCATCAGGCCATGCTGGGAGATTCACGTCGCCCACAGCGTCAACAGGCCAGCACTGTGCTGCCAACTCCCTGCCTGACCACTGTCCAACGTCAGTCGACCGGCGTCATATGACTGGCACTGTACCGCCAGCCCCCCGTATGGCCTCTGTCATAGGACCCTTTGACCATTCCGTCCGCTCGGATGGGATGGAAGACAAGAACGGAGCACGACACCCGCACGTATGCTGCAGCGACCAACAGGACCCCACTGCGACGCCGCTGCCACCACAATCTACAGGGTTAGCGGGACCCACGCGAAGAGGAGGACGGCACACCGTCGGGAGCCTTATTTCTTTTTCTTTTTTTCCTCTTCCCTTCTCTCGGTCTCTGGTATCCTGTTCTCTCCCCTTGGTCTATAAAAGGGAAGACAGGGCACCCTTCAGAGAGAGATCAATCGACCGATAGATCGAGTAGTAGAAGCATCGAGCAATCGAACCACAGAGACTTGGGAGCTCCTCCTTCTCTCGCTAGTTTGTAACCCTTTACTACAAACTCAGTGCTAGTAACACGGGCAGCCCGAAACTAGACGTAGGGACATTCGGCCCGAACCAGTATAATCATTGTGTCCTCTTAGCACACCATCCGGGTCAGACGTGCAATATACAAATTTACTAGTCGGCTGTTCGAAACACCGACACTAGGGGTAGTGATAAAGAAATGCAAAGGCAACAAAGACTATGATCAACTGATAGTCTTTCAGGCACAAACATATTTAAGCTTAGTCATGGAAAGCATCTTGTGATCGGAAAAGTACTTTTCAAGATTATGGATGACCAAGAAGGATGATGGGTTCTTGCATCACAATCCTGTAACCTCCCTTCATTAGTGAGCTCTACACATGGAAGATTCCTCACATTTTCAACCTTTCATACTTAGTAGCAAAATAAGAGGACAACTAGTTGATCATTAGGCCTACAATATATCAATTATTTAAGTGAACACTTGCCATTAAGCAAACGGTATGCACAGAGAGGATCAAATAAAGGGGGCTGTTAAGCAAAAGACAAAAGGAAACAAGAGTTCCAAATCTTATCACAGTGGTTATTAAAGTGCAAGGCCTACGTGAAATTATCAGGCATACAGATTGATCAGATCAAACTTCGGTGCAAACTGAAACAATTATGGGACACTTGAAAGCAGGTAGTTAATAATAATTCTGGAATCATAGTATTTTATTTTACTTAGTTTGATACAAGTAGAAGATTCAATAACAATAGCAGATTCCTAAATTCCATTACTTTGCACTGTTCCCAGCCATCTATCTACCTTTTCTTTGGATGACTATGTAAAGTCACAAGTCACAACTTTCACCCAATATACAGACCAACTTAAACAGAAAACACTTAGATAATGAAAAGTTGTCAAAACAAATAAACAATGTAACTTTCAGAGTTGGTGTGCTATTACACTTATCAAAAAACTACTAGCCTAGCGACCATATTTTACAAGGTATTTGCTTACATGTCTTGAAAGACAGCACCTATTAAAATTAGGCCTTTGGGAGAAAATAAGGCATATGTTGAGATATAAAAAATTTGGATCCTATATACAAGGTTTTAGCAGCATGAAGTCATAACTGAAATCAGAAAGCAAATAGTATATTTCCATATGTAAATTATTTATTGCCTAAACAATAATAGCCATGAACAAATGAGTAAACAACAACAGCATAGGTTTATCATTTGGCTTAGTCAAGGACCTATAAGTCTGATCCACGAACAAATAATAACCGCCTGTTCAGATATAAATACACTGACCAGTGACCACTGTACTTTAAAGTTTAAACTGAACCATTTCAGATAATCATATATGTTGAAATCTACTGCTCATCAGGGGAAAACAACTGAAAACTTCAGTTCTTGAGAAAATACATCACATATGCAAATAGCAAACTCATTTCAAGGCACGCTGGTGAGTCAGAAAAAAAATTATCAACTTGTTAGAGAATTAACAGGTGAAGAATCAACCTGTGAAGAATCAACAGGTTAGAGAATTAACATCCCATGGACACCACATAAATCAATACCACGAAGCACTAACCACATTGATATCTATAAGGCATTCCTTCTAAAGTAGTTGATTATTTCACTGCAAGGGTCTGGAATCAACTTTGTGCTTAAACGATTACTATGTTTGTCATCAGTGCCTGCTGTTTTCTGTGCCCATGCAGAAGAACATATTTTTCCCATGTAATGTGATATTCCAATCTTCATGGCAGCCCTAATTCGCAGCAGGATTTGAATGTATACACTGTAGACACAGGATAATTCGAATAAACCTAGCTCAATTCAGAAGAACTAGTTGATGAAATCCTAGAAATGATTTGGGGTGGAAAGAATACCAATATTCATTTGCCACACCAAGGGGCAAGGGTATGAAAGGAAGAGTCGGTTATCCACTTTTGAGAGGTAGACATATGAAAAGAGATACTGAAATGCACTTGCAGTGGCATTGCAGCACTCCTACCTTTTCTGAATTCTTGAATACACAAGATGGAGGTATGCATATCTTATTGGCCACTAGTGCTCAGTTTCAGTTGCTCAAACACAAAGATAATGCAAAGTATAATCTTACCATTAATTTTTAGCTTCATTGAAGCACAGCAATGATAGCACCGGGACACTAATCAGAATCACCTAAAAGAGGACTTTTTGCCATGCTTGCATACTGCATTCGCTTACATAATGCATTCAGTCCCATGGTCATAGCTAGGGGTATTCATGTGTATTCACATGAACACATGAATACCCATGATTTTATATAGAAATTTAGTATATATCATGTAGTATTAATACATGTATAAAAACCAGAATATTACTCCATGGTTCAGGCTTAAAGGAATTTCAATAAGAGCACAGTAATTTTTCTTCACTTTCATGTTGATATTTTTGTGGTATGTATTGTATTGGTCAAATAAAAAGCACAGTGAATACCCAGCTGTTAAATTCTGGCTATGCCACTCTTAAGAATACACCATATGGATCCTTAAATGGACAAATTGTGTGAAATAAGAAAACACTCACATAGTGACACAAATTAACATTTCTGTGATAGAGGCTCAGATGAATTATGTGAAACAGGAGAACACTCACATTGATCAACATTCCTTTCTACAAAGACTGAGCACAGATGTTTAGTACATTATTGCAACGCTACGAGGTTCTGTGAACATGTGAAGCAGAAAAAATATGTAACTCTGCACGGAAGCGTCCACCTCTGTCACACGTCATCCCCGGCGCCGTCGAGGGCCTTGAGGCCCTCGGCCACCGCCCGCGCGCGGTTCTGCGCTTGCCTCTCCACCGCCACGAATTAGAGGCCTGTACGGAAACACCAGAGGAGCGAGACCGCGGCAACGGGGAGAAGTGGTTAGGGGAAGACCGCGACGGAATGGGAGCAGAATAGCAGGGGGTAGGGCTTTTAGGTACGGGCGCTTACTCATGGCGCTGCCCAGGGCGCAGATCCCTAGGATGCGCTGCGACCACCTGTCTCCCACCACGCCCCGGCCTCCCAGCCCCATCCTCCGGTCGCCGCCGCCGGCAAAGCCGCTCGCTTCGACTTGGGCTCTGTCGTCTCTGTCGCCGACCGCTCCGGCTGTTCGCGGCGTGCGTGCGCGCCCGATGAATGGGCTCTACGTGTGAGATCTCAGCCTTTTGGGCTTGGGCCGTTGAGAGAGCAGCGCTGCGGCCTGGATATAATCGAAGGAGAGAAAACGGGGAGTCCATTTAACCTCCTCCAACTTTACACATTGGATGGTTTTAATTGTGGTTTTATCCCATACGGCGCCACATCACCCCAAGGAAAAATCAGGCTACTTTGATAGTTTAGGGTCAAACAAGCTTTATGAAAAAAGTTAAATAAATAATTTTTCAAAAAAAAAACATCCAACTGTTTCTTTCTGGAAAAGCTATTATGCAATTAAAAATCCTAAAATCTGATCCAAACTTTAAAAAATCATTGAAGATTTGCTTTAGCTTGGAAAATATAAAAGTATGAAACCAGTTTTCAAACTTTTGCTAAAATCATGTTCTATCTTATGGTGCTTATCTTAGAATTACCAGACTCTTACAAAATATCCTTTTGGTATTTGTTTACTAGCAGATGCTCTCGTTATCTATTTTAATTAGTCTACATTGATCACTCAAATTATGTAGAAAGCAAAGTAACTTCGACAACACAAGTATAATCTATGTTGTCACAGCTACATCTAGTGTTATGGGCGTATGGCCTATACAACGCTCCACCTCATGTAGCAAGGACGAGGTGGAAGGCCCAAAACATAAAATGCTTTGCATTACCATCTGCTAATATCACATATAATTTAGAATTTCAGATCACGTGTGAGAAGTTCGTGCATCATCCTTCAACAGGACCAATGCTAGTATGCTACCCAAAAAGAGTAGGTTAAATCAGATGTTGTCTAGCAAGTGGCAACGCGCATCCACACCTTTTCTTGAAGGGAAAAAAAGAAGAAGAGAACATCCACCTTACTGGCCATACTCCTTCGAGAAAGAGAAAATGGCGCCACTTTCGGTTTCTTCAGACAGATTATGGATACCCATACAACTAACAATTATAGTACAGTATCTTTCAGTGAACCAGCATGCCAACCTACTCGGAGACCAGGAGGAGACTATGGTCCATCCCTGCTGCAACTTGCAAGACTTCCACCCCTTCCAGGGTATCTACAAGACACGGCTCCGCCTCATCAATGGAGCTGCCCAGACCTAACCTGCCATTCCTGCCTGATCCCCAGGTCCAAACTTCACCTTTGGACGTGAGAGCAACTGAATGGACTCGACCAGCCGAGGCCGTTACCAGCCTCTCCGTGCTCAGACAGTCCACCAGTGCAGGGATGTCCTCTTGACCAGGCCGTCCGAGCTGGGAGTTGCAGTTCCACCCCCATGAGAGGAGGCCAGTTTCCACGCCGTCAGTGCCCTCAGTCATTGTATGGCATAATGCTAGAGAGTGACCGACACTTGCTGACATGGAGAATGGCTTGTAGCTCATGCCGACAGGAAGAAATTTGGGCGGCCCTGCCTTCCTACCCAGTTGTCCGTAAGTGTTGTCACCACCGCTCAGTACAATGCCATCAGCTGGAAAATTACAGAAACCATATGAGATGGTGGTAGGCATAGATTTGAAAATAAGAATACCCCAAAAGGCTAATTTGAGAATGATAGATGGTCACTGTGTTTCATTTTCCGTAGTGTGTTTCCTAAGAGGCTAAGATGACATAATCTTTTCCTATGTTGATCCTATAAGTAACATTAGCAATAGCGTCCTAGTGGAACATGAGACTCATTACACAAATGTCCAGCTACTTGCATTGTATGTTAAATTGTCCATACAGGACCAAGCAAGATTTGTCAAGATGTGATAATGACAGGTAATAACCAATTGTTATCTAAAACATGTACTATTTGCATCTGCAGTACAAGATATTCCCAATGTTTGATCACATCAAATATTATTGAAGCAACATTACAGCATAGCTTATTGACTCTGGTTACCAAGAGAGCAGCAGAGAAGCATGAGAAAAGTATTATTCATCATAAATATGCACACAAGGAGTTTCGTTTGTAGTGAAAATAAATACTCACAGCAGAGAATCAAGGAATGATCAAGCCCACAAGATACGTCAGACACCTCAAGATGACTCACTTCATGAACAAGTGATGGTTCCCAGATAATGGGCATAATGTCTTCACTGCGAATTTTCTCTTCAACCATCTTTTCAACAGCCTCCAGCATTGAACTAGAATACTTGTCTGCCATTTTTCCTATGTATTCTTCTGCAGAAAGAGCTCTAGTGCTTTGACCCATTTCTCCTATACTTCCATTTTCCGAGTATCCCCAACCAAATAGCTTTCCATCCTTTGTCAATGCCATGGCATGCCCCCATCCAAATGATACCTACCATTATTCCTTCAGTTAACGTCATTGTCAATCCATTTATTTAATTTCTGGGAGAAAGTTAGCACCTTAACAATGTCGTAGCTAGCAAGAGCTTCCACTTTAGATGGCACTGCTGCCTCTACAATGTCCTTCCCAAGTCCAAGTTGGCCACGCTTTGATCTCCCCCAAACCCATAAAGAACCATCAGATCCTATTGCTGCTGAAACAACGCCTGAAGCAGATACAGCTTGAACTTGAACATTTTCCAATCCTCTGACCAGTTCTGCGTTGCTCCAAGTATTCCTGTCATTTCGTGAAATGGTTGAATAGTTTTATGCATATCCTTGATAAGTAACACTGCCGTAAGGACAAGGAAACAAGCATTAATGGTTAAGTTCCAAGGAACAAAAATCTGATAGACAAAGTTTCATTAGGTAGAGTGGGCAAAATATTTTAATAGTAGAAAATATTTAATTACTATAAATATACAAAACTGAAACCAGTAAAAGAAGCAGTGTCCACGCTAAGGCTCTCTTTGGCAGGACTTTAGTTGGAGTTTCTCTACTGGCTTAATCCAAAGCTCTGCCAAATGTGCACACACGAGCATGGCTTTTGAAGCTGAAGCCATTTTGCCCAGAAGCCAAAACCAAACCAAAAACAGTGAAGCTGAAGCCATTTTGCCCAGAAGCCAAAACCACCAAAAAGTGGCTTTTTCTGGCTTCATCAATCCAAATAGGGCCTAAAAAAATATCCAAATCTTTCACTCTCCCATAACCTTCAGTGTTTCTTTCAATAAATACTGCTGAGTTATGTTGTTCCTAGCTCCAAAGTCTTTCTTGTTTCACCTAATGATAAAATCACAGGTGCCCCTTCTTTCTCCTTTTGTTCTTACTCTTCCCCTATGTCCGTGATCCTTTCTCCTGGTTAATGTGTAGCATTATGGACCGAACTACATAAGCAAACAATGTAGCGCTTTGTGCTTCCAAATCCACACATGTCGTGGAATCATGTAACCACCATGTAGTAATGCTTTCACCTCGAGAATCATGTTGTGCTACTATATACGGAACATCATGTTTCATCACTTATTTACCCGATGCTGTATTACACTAACTTCTGAAATCTAAAAAGAGGACTTAAGTTATTTGAGCATTCCAAATCTTCTTGAACGCGCAGCCAAGCTAGCCAAGAGGAGTTTCAGATCACCTCGGGGAGTGAAGCCTGCGGCCGAGCTGGCCCTCGTCGTTGCGCCCCCACGCCCAGACCTCTCCGGCGGCAGATACGGCGAGGGAGTGGTAGTGACCGGCGGCGACGGCGCTCACGGACGGCGGGAGGGAGGGCACGGGCGTGGGCACGTAGGCGTCGGCAGCCGGTGGCGGCTGGCCCACCGCGCCATGGCAATTATCCCCGAACCCGTACACCACGCCGGCGCACGGGGCCCCGGCCCCGCTGCCGGCGAGCGCGGAGAGGAAGCGCCGCGAAGCGAAGGCGCACGTGCGGGCAAGGAGGAGAGAACGCATTTGCGATCGGAGTCGGGAAAGAGAGGCAAAGGAAGGTTTGAGTTGGGCTGAATGTATACCTGTGCAGAAAAGACCGGCCCAGCCAGTGAACAGGCCTTATGGGGCAAGCAGGTGGGCCTATGTTAGCCTCCTAGGCCTGCCACCCGTCATGATATCATTTCCTCGAAAAGAAACCGTCATGACATCTTACTCTTTTTTTCCTCAAAAATGCTAAAAAAAAAATTCTTCAAATATTTTTTTTTGCCAGGGAGAAAAATATCACTATATTTGCACGATGCGACAAGAATATATTTCTACACGAAAAAAGTCTAAATAACTCCTTGACGTATCACGTGTGGCTTACTTTACCCCAATCTATAAAATCAGATATTGAGCGCATTAAACTTTGGCAAACCAGTCGTTTAACCCTCTGGCTGGTTTTGCTACCCGGTTTTGTGTACGTGGACAGCCACGGTGGCATTCTTCGGCCACGCTCGACTGGGGCCGGCGGCCGGTGGCGCGTGCTCGGCCCGACCACCTCGACCTCCTCCGCGGGGAGGCCATCTGCCTCGAGGGCGTCCGCCACCTCGTGGCCGATCACGATGCCGCGCTCGTGCTCGCCGACATGGCCACAATGTGCCGCGACCTCTCCCTCGTCGTCGACCGCCAATCCGCGCGCTGCGCCAACCCGCTGCTCCGCCGCTTCAGCGCCCTCCTCACCGCTCTCGTCAAGGCCGTCGGCGCCGGGATGCGTACGCCGAGCCCAAGAAGATGGAACGGAAGGCGAGCAAGAAGATGGACCCGCACGGGCTGCGGTACGCCATGCTGTCCGCGCGCTTCTTCGCGCATCGCAAGACGCACAACGACTCGCACCGCACTAGCGAGACCGCGAGTGCAACATGCTCTGCTTGCCTCGACTGCTCCGCCGCCGTGGGTGCGCGCGCACTCTGCTCCCTGTGCCTCGCGCACGGCCACTGGGACCACCACAACATCTAGATCCGCCACTCCTCCTACCACGACGTCATCTGGGTGTCTGGGCCTGGGGCACCGCGGCTCGTGCGGGTCGTCGCTGGCGCCGGTGGCCTTAACGAGCGTGGCACAGAGGCCAGAGGGCGTCCGAGCGGCGGCGCAAGATGAGCATCCCACACCTGTTCCGATGCCCCATCAGCCTGGACATCTTCATGGGGTAGATATACGACCACCCCTGCAACGAGCGCTGGCTCGCTGCCGGCCATCGCACGTGCTCAGTCACAATGCAGCCGCTTGGCGACGCCGTGCTCGTGCCCAACCGCACCCTGGATGCTCAATGGGGCATCGACCGCAAGGATTATACTTTGCTGCTGCGCGTGCTAGTCTGCTACTGTATTTTTAAGCTTTAATTTGGATGCGCTACGTCACATACAGGAGATTCAGCAAGAGATTTACAGCTCGCAGCAGCAGCTGCACATCTCTAAGGAACGCCTGAGGTCAGTGGCCAAAGTATCCTCCCTATGCTGCTGCAGCTCGTTTTCCACGCACCCACACCGTGGGACCTGTCCGAGCAAGAGGACCTGGCGCTCTAGTGCACGCTTAGCTTCCTGCCGTCGCCGCACGTGTGGCAGGCGCTCCTACCTCTAGGCACTACGGTGCGTGTGGAAGCCGCGATCTGCTGCGCGGCTTTGCCGGCACCCACCGGCGCTGTCCACCACGGCTCGGTGATCGCGCTCCTTGGTTGCCCGTCCTGGCATCGGCGCGCCGCGGCATGGAGCGCGATGGCGGTGCTGGAGGCCCTGCCCGCGTTGGTGGCTAGGCACCGGGCAGTGGCGTGCGAGCCTGGCACGGTGTGTGCACTGGTGAAGCACTTGTTCATGATGTCATCGAGTAACGAGGGAAGCGAGCACGCGGTGGCGGCATTGCTGGCTGAGTGCAGGGAATCCGGGGTGGCACGGAGCGAGGCTACCGGCGTCTGACAGCTGGAGCGCCATGTACACAAACAGGGTAGCAAAACCAGCCAGGTGTTAAAATGACTGGTTTACCAAAGTTTGATGTGCTGAATACATAGTTTTATAGGTTAGGGAGTTATTTAGACCTTTTCCATTTCTACACTGATCAAAGGTTAGGTTGGGCACATACATGTTGCAGTCTCTAGGCAGAGCAATTCTGATTACTTGAAAGTGGTTAGAAGCTTTACCTCATCGTTTTAAACTATTTTCATTCATACAACTGCCTTATTTATTAATCTAGTTAATCTAGCAAAACCTTATGGGACTTGCTAGCGCCCGGACATCCGCTCTCGGGGTGCTGTTGGCGGTCCTTAACGATCATATCCGACCGTCAATTTATATCCAAAACGAGAGAAATAAACAAACTTTTGACACATATGCATTTACTGTTAACCTATTTCCACTTGTATTGAAAGAAACATGTTTTGCAGGACATACATTTGAATGCAAATGAAAAACAAAGCAAAAGACGCAATTCAGAAAGCGTAATGCAGAAATGCGCAATGGAATAAAAGGAGAAGTCCACCTTCACGACAAAATCTAGGCCGGGCACTGACGTAGAAGGAGTCCAGGCCCAGCCACCAGCCCACCTGGCAAAGGCGGTGGCCAGGCGAGCCAGCCAGGGTGCGGCCGCACCCCAGGCAGCGCAGCCCGGGCCTAGTTTCCTACGGCGGTTGCATGGCGGCATTGATTGGCGATTCATGAAGGTTTCCTAATTTATCTATACTAAACCGACCATCAGCCACTATAAGAAGAGGGGTGGAGCTCTCCTTCAACACACACCATTTGGAGCTACACACCTCACTACCACCTCTTGTATTTTACTTTTAGTAGCATTTGGAGTTAGGCAAGAAGCTTCATTGGAGAGCTTGTACCTTGGAGGATTCTTGGTATGAATAATACAAAGAGTTCACTTATGTTCTTACTCTCATATTTTCAATATAGTAATGCTTATGAACTAGAGTATAGTTTTCATGTTATAATCATGACATATGAACTAGCATATAGTTTAACATGTAGAACTTTATGTCTAATCATTCATATAATTTATATGAGTAGAATTAGAGCTAAGTTGAGATGGCGGTTCATCGTGCCTTTGGGTGTGCCCATGTCCTATGATTGTCGATCCATAGGGTCAGAGCCTTGGGGGACGTGGATAGTTTCTGTGTAATCGGGCATGGTGCCCGTTACATAGGGACAGGTGCATACATTTCCTACTCTCCGGTTAAGGGGTAGGCGGTGGGTGGTGACAGCCCTATCCGTCCCTCGTAATCCCCTACGTTCAAGTAGGGTGTAGGAGTCTAAATTGTCACATGAGGTTGCTGACAGACCATTACTCAGTGCCCTCCCGACCTATCTTACACTTAGTTCTAGCTCTAATCATGTATCTTGTATGATCATTAACTGTTCTTTGCACGACTATATTAGAACATGCCTGCTCCGCTTAGGATCATTCTTTTATTCTTTGTTTTCCTTTTATCCTTGAGGTTGGCCCAGATGTGTGTCCACTATCCTTGAAATATTATTTTTACCCGAACTATTGGTTTACTAGTGCAAGTATGTAATCTTGTTCATATCTATGCTAGACTTTTAAACCTTGTCCTCCTTTAGAAAAATATAAATAACGGTACCCTAAATACTTCTGGGTGAAATGCTATAACGATAGATCCGTGCGCTTGCGGATATTACTTCTGTAATAATTAAGAACTATCGTAGTTGGTGTTTCTTGGCGGCATCGCTAAGGTTTACTCAATCTTAGTGATGGTGTTAAGAAATACCAACAGACATTTCTGGCGCCGTTACCAGGAATGGACTTGAAACCTCCATACTTGGTGATTGCGCTAAGAAATACCAACTAGTATTTTTGGCGCCGTTGTCGGGGACGGTATAGGTTAAAAGAATCTAGTAGGACATGATCGGGATCACATGCATGTAATGGTAGCCATAGTTTATGCATGCTAATTCTGCTTGTTTTCTTCCTGTTGTGGATGAAAACATGATAGTGTATGACCGGTTACAACCTGCCAGAAAACTACACCGATAATCCGGAGGCGCTAATAAGGAAGAACAAGTCCCATATCGCTTCTTCCTCCGCTACTCTGCTGGCAGTTAAGCTAGTCACCCCCGCACCACCCGCTACTACCGCTATGGCAAAGACACTCAGTGACTACTCCACCCCCACTATTGCCAACATGCCCGTTGGGCCTATTGTCAACACGAGAGCTGGAAACTTTGAGCTTCGCACTGGTCTGATCACGATGGTGCAGGCAAACCAATTCTGTGGTTTGCCTAGCGAGGATACAAGTGCACGCTTGCAACACTTCCTGGTGCTGTGCGACACCATCATCATAAAAAATGTCATACCAGCTAGCATAAGGCTCCGTTTGTTTCCTTTGTCCCTTGCAGGGAAGGTGAAACAGTGGTTCTATAAGGAGAAGGAAGCTGTCAGTACGTGGGACAAATGTTCCGCGGCATTCCTGGCAAAATTTTTTCTCATGGGAAAAACCAATGTCTTGAGGGGGAAAATTTCAAATTTCCAGCAGACTTCAATGTAATCCATCCCCAAGGCATGGGAGAGGCTATAGGATTACATCCAGGCATGCTCACACCATGGGATGGAAAACTGGCTCGTGCTCTAGAACTTCTATGAGGGGCTTATGCCCATGTCGAAGGGGCTCGTAGATGCCGCTGCTAGAGGCGTATTCCTTTCCCTCACCATCGATGGAGCCACGACTCTCATTGAAAAGATGGTGGCCAACCAGAGCTGGGGGGAAGAACGAAAACAACAAAAAGGCATGCATACTATGAAGGAGGCGGATATGCTTGCCGTAAAAATGGATTTGTTGCTGAATAGACTTGACGAGCGTGCCATCGACAAGGAGGCAGTGAAGGGTGCCGTCAAGACCATGGACTCACAAATTACTTGCGAAGTCTGTGGAGAGGTCAAACAATCGGGGAACGACTGCCCCGAGACTCATGAGGAAGCTGCATATCTCAACAACGGGTTCTGCCAACAAAATAATAACGGGTGGAACAATC